TCACTCACATTCTGTTCTTGATATTACTTCTTAAATACACTGATGTAAATATCAATTTATCACTTACAGTTTTCTTGCTTACTTTTTAAAGCTGACAATATTTTATAGGTCTTAATTATTTTCAGGGTGCCTTGTAAGCTCATAGACCCTATTTCCTATTATGTCTCTGGAAGTCATCTAGACAGAAAAAGTCTGGTCCACCTTTTGTTGTTTGGGTTTCTATGTTTGTATTTTTAAATATTATAAATGTTTTTATTTTTAAAATAACCACATTGAACACAAGGTGTTCAATCTCAATAATCGGAAAATATCCAATCAAACCCACAATGAAATATCATCTCCCACTGTGACCATTTTTTAAATCTTTATTTTTTAAAATATTTATTTATTTATTTACTTATTGGTGGGGCCAGGGATTGAACTCAGGACCTTGATCTTGCCAGGCAAGCACTTATTCCACTGAGCCATCTCCCCAGCCCCTACCATGACTATTATTAAAAATAAATAAATAAATAAGTAAATATTGATGAGGATGTTGGTAATTGGAATCCACATGTGATATTGGTGGGAATGTAAAATATTATAACCACGGTACAAAACAGTGTGGGAGTTCCTTGAAAACTTAAAAATAAAATAACTATATAATCCTGCAGTTCCACTCTTACATGGATAACCCCAAATAATATCTTCAAGACATGCTTGTTATACCCATGCTCATAGCACCACCATTCACAATGCTAAACTGTGGAAGCAACTCAAACGTCCACTGACTGATGAACAAATACACGAAATGTGGTGTGGAATATTATGAAACCTTAAAAAGGAAGAGAATTCTGTTTGGCATATGCTAAGTGTGGATGACCCTCAAAGGCATTATGGGAAGTAAAATCAACCAGTCACAAAAGACAAATACTGTACAGTTCCACTTACATGAGGTTCTAGCAGAACCCAGCAGCATCTGAGCATCTGTGATTATGGGTGGACCTCACAAAATCATAAAGACACAGCATAGAATGGTGGTTGCCAGGGGCTGGTAGGAGGAGGGAATGGGGAATTACTGTCTAGTGGGTATAGACTCTCAGTTTTATAAGATGCAGAGGAATTCTGAGGCTGGATGGTGATAGTCCCCAGACCTTATGGATGTATTTGGAACCGCTGAACTGTATGCTTAAGAATAGTTAAGGTGGTACATTTTATGTTTTGTGCATTTTCCCACAAAAATATGGGAGAAAAAAATCTAACCAGTTATGTTAGAGAAATGAATTATGGGGTAGATGTGTTTGCTTCTTTGTTTGTTTAAATAGCCACTAAAAAAAAGCAACTTGTATTAAAAATAAAGGAATTTGAAAGGGAGAACTCTCCTAATACTGATACCCTTCTTGGAGTCCATTAACAAATGGGCCCAATAGAAAGTACCCACTGGGCTCTCCAGCCATCCAGGTTGCAAGGAAAATCTGCTTTCGCTCCATGTTTACTCTGGATTAGAGACCCACCACCAGCAAATTATTTCATCTCTCCCTGCAAATATCTCTGACCTTGGTAGAGTTCACAAGATGAGGACTTAGTGGAGTCATAATGCCTTTCCCAAGTAGAAACCAGTAAGATCGCACTACACAGCCAGCGCAACACAGGGTTGAACCTGAAACATCAAACTGGGTCCTCCAAGACAGAGTTGGGAGGGGAAGGAACCAGCATAAAATTTCACAGTAGGTGACCTTTGCCTTGCTGTATGGCCAAGGGAAGGTAAATTGAGCTCATTTTAGAATAAAGGATGTTTTAAAAACAAGGGCATTTCTGACCAAGGATCTGATTTCTAAGACATTATGGAAACAAAATTTTAATGACATATAAAACTTCCTCAGTGTAACATGGTGATTGTCTATAAAGACTGAACCAGAGTCCTGTCTCTGTCACTTACTGGTTGTGGGACATTTAGTGAATGATTTCACCTCAGTGGATCTTATTGTTCCAGCTGTAAGATGGGTGTAAATAATAATATCCCTTACTTCATAAGGTTGTTGAGAACATCAAATGGGATAAGTTACACCGAAACTATTTAGTGCATTTCCTGGGACACAGTTGATACTCAGTAAGTTTGTAGCTAAGGTTTTACTTGTAAATCCCTAGAGAGTAGGTGTTACAAACCTTTCAGAAAAGATGCAGACAGAGAGATTCAGGCTACCTAACTCACCAACACCACACAGCTAATGAACAGTATAACCAAAATTCCTCCACAAGACTCAAGACTCCTAAGTGTAAGTCATGTTCCATTAGAGTATAGATGACAAAGGAAACACCAGCCAATCATTAACCTTAATTTGAAAATACAAGGGCATCACAGCCCGTATACAACATTGTCACTCTACTTCTTTGCAGTACTCATGTTTTACTGCAACAAGAGAAAGGGAGGATATTTCCTCTTTAGCAAATGAAATTAAGAGAGTTTTGTTTTCTGAGGATACTTAAGGTTTGTAGTAACATGAAGAAACTTCATGATTTATTCCCTAAAGTATTACTCATTTTTTCTTTTTCTCCTGCTAGTAGAGTCCAGTCAATGTCCCTGGAAATGAATCACTTCCTATCAAAATTTAGCATGACTCCGTATTATAATTTCCTTGTTCTGGGCACTAGATGTCACACTAGTAAAGTTTTAGAAGTTACTCCTCAGGGTAGGGTGTGGCATTAGTGTCCAAACGCTAGCTGTGAAAAGTGACAAAGCTTAACTTACTATTTCTACTAGAATGCAATAAAGATGTACTTCTGCTACCAAAACCATTTAGGAAAATAAGTGTTCCTCAACAAAACAGTTGTCGCAGCAGCCTATTTTCCTATCTGTTAAGTAGATGCAAATAAAAATAGTATTTTCTTTCTCGAATAGTGATTGTTCCAGATGCAGCTTATGCACAGACACTTGTGACCATTTGTGTCCTGCGATGGTGAAAAGCTGTTATTTCTTCAGAGAAACACCACCACCCCCCAAAGGACAACAGCACCCTCCATTGCCAGGCATAGAGAAGGTGAAAGAGGAGATAATGACTATGAGGTTAATTAAACTCTGAACCGGTCTCGGGGAGGGAGGCGCAGTCACCTTCCTGATGACATAAGCAGATGCTGCCTCCCGCCTTCTCGAACTCATTTATTGCTTGGTTTTGGCTCTCAAGAATCTAGGCAAGGATCATGGGTTGAGATTTGGGTGTACATATTCCCTTTTTAAAATACATATGCAAAAAAAAAAATATATATATATATATATGCTTTCTTAAAATGACAAGGAATGTGGATTAGGTATGAAATGATCATGTCCGATAACTTCAGTGTGGCTGAAACTTCCTTAAGTTTTCACTGAAATGCTTGGAATTCATTGGAAGCCAGAGAGAATTTGTTGAAGTCTAGACTTTAACCATTTATTCTTTCAAGGAACTCGGTCATGAGTTTGAACTGCGTCTAATGACCTGTGTTTAGGTATAAACATATTTATACTTGTAATTAAAGTTATAAATAATGTTTCTTACATTTCAAGTATTTCTAGGTAATGCATAGTGACAGATAATTTTAACTGGACATAACTGGTAGCAGTACCTTGTTTGTATTAAGATTTCTCTGATAAATAAGGTTTTCATTGAAGTATTAGCCTGGGTTCAGATTCATCCTTGTCTTTATCTTACTTAGTACATTGGCAACTTGCCCCTTTCAGGGTATTCTGATTCTATGTGATTTTTATTAACCCCTTGACCCACCCCTGCTGTGACTTGGGACTTTGCCCCCAACAGATTAACATTGCTACAGCCTTGTGTTTAACCAATCCCATTTTCTGCCTGTGTGTGAGGTGAGGCACACTGTCCTCTTCAGAGTTTAGCTGCCACTAAGACCAGGCAGAGGCTACTTGTTCCTCTATCACTGGGGCTGGGACTCAAAGGCTGCAGCCCATCTGGGGACCTGGTGGAGGGATCTCTCCACAACAAAATACAGACATGACAATTACTCTACCAAGTCAAGCACTGGATTTTTTTCAGTGTGGGCAGGAGGGTCCCTCTGCATTCACCCACAGGTGTTAAATCCCCATTGTGCAGGGCTCAGAGGACGCAGGTGTTGCCCTGTTTGGAAGAAGCAAAACCCATGGCCTTCAGCTTGACTTGGACCACTACTGCCCCAGATAATTGTTAGCGGTTGGTGGCCTTTCTGAGTTTTCACTAACTTGCCTTTCCACGTGGAAATGTTAGGTCAGGCCCTTTGGACTGATTGACAAGTAGAAAGAGAACCTTGGGCTCAGCAGATTTCAGTTGAGCCAGCGTTGCTGGAGTATTTACAATTTGCTAGGCCTGCAAGGAACCAAACACTGAGTGATGTGAATTGGCCGTGAGGCACCAACGGAGGCAAACCGGTAGGACAAGTGCACCATTCAAAGACACTGTTTTGAGTTTGGATCTTAAGTTAGGGGGCAGGCACTGTAACAGGCAGAAGAGAACAACAAAACAGCTGAGAGTTCTTTAGGCATATGAGGTGTGACTTAAGAACCACCCTGGGTGTTTTTTAAATGCATTATAGTACAAGACCCATTGCCACTGATGCGCCTCAGAATCCTCCCTCATCTTGAACACACATATCTCGCCATTCTTGGCCGTGTGTCTTTTACTGTAATAAGCTTTTTATATTTGAGCATTCACCACATCTTCCTATCACCCTTGTATTTGTCTTATTTCCTCCTCACAGAACCCAGAAAACAATATTCATGGACAGACAACGTAGGGGCCACGCAACAGCCAAAGTCTCCGTTTTAACTGCTTCCATTCAGTCAAAAATCAAGATGAATGCCTACAACTCTACATAGCCTTGAAGATTCACTAGAGCATTTGCGGGTTGTGGATTTTTTTCTTTTCTCTGTTGTTCTAGTAATTTATCCGGGCCCCGGATGTGCTAGGCAAGCACAGTACCACTGAGCCCCGCCCCCGCCCCGCCCACGGCTATGTAATGGTCATGAACTCTGTATTTATTTCTGATAGGTCACGGATTGACAGCAGTCAAGGAAAAGGCAGGGGCCACCCTACGGATTCACAGTGTAAACTCCGGATCTTCCGAAGGGGCCCAAGCTGATGCTGAAAACGGAGTTCCTGAAAGTGAGTGCGGCGTGACTGTGGGCGTTCTTGGCTCCGTGACACCGTGTTGCACGCACAGTTAGCTGGCTCCTAAGTTCACATCAGCAACATGAACTCTTAACAGGCTCTTGTTTCACGTTACAGCTGTGGCTGCAGATCCAGCCCCCGCGGGAAGCGCCCCCACCCCTCTGGCCGCGGGCTCCCGAGGCGTGCTCTCCGCCCTCACCAACGTGGTTCAGAATACCGTGAGTGCAGAGCCGCTTCCTGTTTTCCCTTGCGTCTCCCTCCTTTTGATGTCTCTGTTTGCCAGTGACCTAGATACATCAGAGAAAAGATGGCCTTGCTCATGACTTTAGATCAGGGTTTTGTTATACTTTCTGCTGCAGAGTCGGCCGTAACCTTGGATCCAAAATAATAAGGGCAACATGAAACACAGTTTGTGTTTAAAAGAAAGGTGATGTTTAGAAGGTACATTTTTCAACCTGATTTAACTCTGTCCTTTCCAGCTGCTCCAAGGACAGTGTCTCCGGAAGAGGTGGGACAGCTGTTTTTTCTGGGTGGTTTATTTCTCGAAGCCTCAATTAGAAAGATAAATAAATAAAACCGATCAGACTAAAAAAGACCAGTGAGTCCGGGATAACCGCCCTGTAAATTTGTGAAGTGTTTACAGAAAACTAAGACCTACATTCCTTCCCCATTCCTACGTTTTAATTCCCACTCTTTCCTCGTTGTTTTTTTTTTTTTTTTTTTTTGCGGAACTGGGGATTGAACTCAGGGCCTTGCACTTGTCAGGCAAGCGCTTATTCTACTGAGCTATCTCCCCAGCCCCTTCTCTGCTTCTTGAATAATGCTAAAGTCAACCCCTCAGGTCCCTGATTTGTTTATTATTTATTTTAATTTAAATTGAGTTTATTCGTTGTTGCTTTGTCATGCTAGAGAACCAATTCAGGGCCTTGCATGCAGGTGTTAGGTAAGCGTTGTACAACGTAGCCACACTCCTCGCCCAGGTTTTTTTCTTTTTTAACTGATAAATATCTGCCCCTGTCCCCACATGGGATCACACCCAGGGCCTTTGCACTGACCTATCTCCTCAACTCTTTTTTGTTTTTAATTTTACTTTTTGCTTTATATTTTCAGATAAGATCCCATTATGTCACTAAATTGCCAGCGGTGTGCTTGAACATGTGACCCTCCTGCCTCTGCCTTCTAGAATGCTGGGGCTACGTGAATGCATCAGCACACCCAGCTGTGCATTCTTCTTTCTTTCTTTCTTTCTTTCTTTCTTTCTTTCTTTTTTTTTTTTTTTTTTTTTGGGTGGTACCAGGGATTGAACTCAGGACCTTGCACTTGCCAGGCAAGCACTTATTCCATCGAGCTATCTCCTGGCCCCAGCTGTGCATTTTTAAATCTGATTGTTGATTGGCTTGCATATCTGAAACAAAGGTAACGTCCAAGATAACAATGGTTAATAGAATATATTAAATCAGTAAAGTTGAATGTTGCTATTTAAATGGTAATTGTGAAGATTAGAAAATGTATGTAGATAATCATGTAAGAAATAAAATGTATAATTTTCACATAAGGTGGGGACTAATACAGCATAATGCATATTGTAATTACAGTGATGGAATTGATGTCATTGATGTAGTTGGGGCCTATATATAGAGGTGGTTTCAAAGAAACGTATCTAGTTCTAAGTCCCTTAAACAGATTATGTAACTCTTAGTTGTTTTAGGTTTTCAAAAAGAAACAGTGCTTGACAGTGCAATTTTCAGAGTGATAACTGTATAACAACATGGAAATCAGCCTGTCTTATTTCATTAATTTATTAATTATTGGTGGGTTTTGCTCATTTCTGAAAATATATAAGGGCCATCTGAAATAGCCTGAGGGCCCTATACTTCATGATTCTAGATTAAAGGATTTCCTAAATTGGCAGGAGTGGTTGACATTTTAATAAACTAATCCAGGTGATTCTGTTGCTTAGGTTAAACTTTTAAACAAAAACAGCAATTTGGACTCTGTTAATTTCATGTTTCACATGCATCTGCATCGTGTGCACAAAACCAATAAAATTATTTCCTGATATGCTTTGGTTTACCAAAGCATCAGTTTTTAATAACACTGCATAGCCAACAAATTATATAACATATGATTTTCCAAGGAAAAGAAAATAGGTTTAAGTGGATGATAAATCTGATAAGAAAAAATTGTAACTTTGTATTGATTTTAATACTTGAAGATAGAGCCAGTTATCTGGGAGTTGCTGACTGCTGCAAAACAGCAAATTGTAGAAAAACTAATCGCATGCAGTTGTCTCGTCTGCAGGGCAAAAGCGTCCTCACCGGAGGCCTTGATGCTCTGGAATTCATCGGCAAGAAAACCATGAATGTCCTTGCAGAAAGTGACCCAGGCTTTAAGCGGACTAAGACGCTCATGGAGAGGACCGTTTCCTTGTCCCAGGTTGGACCATGCGCTTCTGCATTTTTCTTCTTTCAGTCAAGAAAGCAAATAGATTTTTATTTCTCTTTTTTAATAGGGCATGTAAAGTACATGTTCAGATTCAACGGGCAAGAGGCTGGGGAGATGGCTCAGTGGAATAAGCGCTTTCCTGGCAAGCGCAAGGGCCTGAGTTCAATCCCCGGTTCCACAAAAAAAAAAGAAAAAGAAAGAAAGAAAAGGAAAAAAAAAAGAAGTGATACAGATTCAAAAGGCATAAAAAGAATAGAAAGTGAAAACTGAGTTGCTGACACGTCCCTTCCCCCATCCTCTTCCTCGAGGCAGACGACCACCGTCCAGAATTTCTTACATGTGCTCTCACTTCTCATGCAGATGGATGTAGGTGCAGCTGCGCATAAGCATATAGGTGTAAGACGCCTGTGCATATGAATGCACAAGTGTTTTCTTAGTTACTTTTCTCCTTGCTGAAATAAAATACCTGACACCCAAACTTAAGGAAAGATTGATTCAGCTCATAGTCTGTAGAGGTTTTAGTCCCTAATCAGCTAGCTCCAAAGCAAGGTGGCAGAGCAGACAGGCATTACAGAGGAGAAACAGTTCATGGCGGGAGGAAGGGAGCCATGCAACAAGGAGCCACAGCTCTCCCTATGCCTTGTATCTTATCCAGACTACTTAGGGAGGCAGCACTCACACCCTTAACCCTAGTGCCCTCGATGCAAGCTTTGCTCCATGAACCAGTTGCAGTGTCACACATTCTGTATGCAGCTGCCTCTGAAAAGCCCCGCCTATGACTATGTGAGGCTTTGAGAGGACACCTAGACACAAGCCATGACAGATGGCTTACTATTTCAATCAAATGGTGGCATACTCATCACGCTGTTTTGTATTTTACTTCATTCATGTAATAATTGCTTAAGGATTATCCTATTTATGCCCTTGTATGTATTCTAGCTCTACCACTAGTAGTAATTGCATGACCTTCAGTGGGTTTCTTAGACTAGAACCTGAGTCAAACATTTATATGTGTGTACATTTATTTATTCAGAGTGATGTATTCATTTTATTTCAGTTAAGAGAGTGGTCACCTGGGAGACACCAGGCCTGCGTCCATAAATTGGGCGACCGTGGCCTTTTGGCTGTGAAATGAATGACTGGACGAGATTAGCTTCCTAGATTACCCTAACTAGTGTGCCTCCTTCTCAATTTTTAGTCCTATGTACATTCAGTCTGCTGTGAAAAGGTGCACTGCTCAGAGAAATGGGTCAGTAAGGAGCTCACTTGTAGCTGCAGTGTTCGTTCACATCTGAGCCCTTATGGCAGGTCACCTGAGCAGCTCAGTGTGTCACCACAACGCTCCCGAGTTTACAGGAACATCACTGACCTTGCCTCTTCCCAGACAGAAAATTTTCATTCATTCTTCTCTTCCTCATTTCACAAATGCATTTTAGCATCTGTAGTGTGCCAAGCACTGTTTCTCAGTTGCCAAAATCAGTAAAGAGCTGTATCTTTAAGGAGCTTTTGTTCTAGGGGAGACACACATACAGTCAAAATTACTAGTATTTTAGCAGAAGATGAGTGCAGTACAGCAGGAAGAATGTGGGAGGGAGGGAGGGAGGGGCAAGATACAGTGATTGTGACCGTGGGGGGCCAATAGAGACATGATAGGACATTCACAGAGACAGTGACATTGAGCAAGGACATGAAGGCGAGAACAGGGCTGCCTGTGAAGGCACCTGGTTGAAACACATTCCAGGCAGAGGGAAAAGCTCAGGCAAAAGCCCTGAGTCAGGAGCTTGTGGTAGGAGCAAGGAACCAGCAAAGCTGTCGCATGATGTGAAAGCGATATTAGGGTAGGGCCAGAGTGGTGATGGGCACAGGCGACGGCAGACCGTGGAGTGCATTTGGAAGGACCTCGAGTTCTACAAAAGAGGTAAACCGTTGCAGCATTTGCAGAAGAGGAGTGGCCAGAACTGCCTTCTGCTTTAAAAAGATTGCTGCAATTATTGTGTTGAAAATAGGGGAGAAGAGAAGACGAGGGCTGTGAGACCGTTAGAAGATGCGTCGCTTTAGTTTACCAGAAACAGATATCAAGAAGAGCTGAAATACGCAAGGATGCTACTAGGGAAGGTGCCTGTGTGCAAGAAAGCGGGAAGGGACTTAGGAAGGCTGGGAGGACCATTAGATCAAGTTGCAGACCTGACTCCGGGAAGGAACAAGGGGAGATGAGAGGAAGGAGCATCCAGATGCCACGCTGCCTAAGGAAGGTTGTAAAGCCATAGTAGAGTCCTTCAGGCAGAGTCTGCTGACAGCAGTGAAGGGACCTCAGTTTACCCCAACATATAGATTTTATAAAGAGCTAGGACAAGCAAGTTCCCAGGTTCTTAACACAAAGAAACAAAATGTATGTGAGGCGATAGCTAAGCTAGTGACCCTGATTTGATCACTGTTCTTGCACAAACGTATCAGTGGATCACCTTGTGCCTGGTACATATGTACAACTATTATGTATTGGTTTTTTTTTTTCCCAAAAGAATTTGCTGGTGGTGGATTCCCACCAGCCTCCCGGAAGCAGGCCAACCTCAGTATCCAGTTACTGAGTGGCTCGTAGAGAGGTGCCTGGGAAGCCAAGGGCTGGCGTCCAGGCCAGTGGCTGTACCCTTAACCTTTGCACTCCCTTGAGAAGGGCTCATTCACACACCTACCCCAGCGAGTGCTTGGCACAATCTAGACAGTAGACGCAGGTGTGCAGAGCAGTGCAGAGGCTCTGCTGGTGACGAATGACTGATCCTGGGGATCATTTTAAAGCAGACCCCAATTTTCTGATGGAGTACATCTGCACTGTGAAGTAAAAGGCATGTCAGGGATGGCTGCAGGGTCTTTGGAGCAACTGGAAGAGTGAAACTAGGATCACCTGAGACAGGGAAATCTACTATATTTGCCCCTTACACACTCACAAAACTGTTACGCCAACTTTATGACACTATGACAAAATATCTGAGATAAACAAAAGGAGGAAAGGCAGGTCACAAGTTGAGCCTACCCTGGGCAAGACCCTAACTCAAACACAGAAAATAAAAAAGGTTAGGGATATAGCGCAGTGCAAAGGCCTTAAGTTCAATCCCTAGTGCTGCTAGGTAAATACAGAGGGGAAAGGTCCGTATTGGCTTATGGTTTCAGAGGTTCCCATCCGTACACAGCTGCTTCCATTGCTTTGGGCAGTGCCTCATTGCAGGGGCCTGTACTATGAATGCTGGTCACCTCAGGCAGCCAAGAAGCCGGGAAAGAGCACAAGCGCGGATGGGGTCCCAATATCTCCTTCAAAGCCACTCCCGGTGACCTCACTGCCTTCTACTAGGCCTTGCCTCCTAGAAGTCCCACCACTTCCGGTACTGCCACAAGAGCCTTGGAGGATACTTTAGGCCCAAACTACAGCCAAAGTATATGAGCATAGAAACCTGAAACATTCACAGATGCACTCTCTACATTTGTGACATAGGGCTGGGGAGATGGCTCAGTAGAATAAGCGCTCCCCTGGCAAGCGCAAAGACCTGAGTTCAATTCCCAGTTCTGAATAAATAAATAAATAAATAAATAAATTTGTGACATAATCTATCCCAGCACTGCAGGGAACATGCTCTAAATAACACAGGGACTGCATGGCTCCTGGATTCCACTGATGTAAGCGTCCATGACTTCCCTATGGCAGGAATTATTCCACACCAGAATTCTTCCCTGCTTTTTAAGTCCATCTCCTTTTGTTTTCCAAAAGGAAAATAGAACCAGCATCTTTTGGTTCCACTCCCTACTTTTTGAGTGAATTCTAATCACTCTGGAGCGATGTTTCCTCTTTACTTTACATTTCATCTCTTCCTTTCTTTGTCCCACAGGACAAATTAAAGAGGGAAGTTGGTTCAGAAAGGAAGCAATCACAGAGTCATTCTGCTTTTTATGTTCCCACCACCAAGCCCTGAGATCAGTGTGGGTAGTTGAGTTTTATTGCAAGTGTTAAAACTTCCCTAAGATGGTTTCACTAGGTTGTTTTGGAAACTAAAATTCTGCAGCGCAGTGGGTTCCTGGCTAACAACCTCAAAAACCAGAAAGAAGGAGGCTGATAGCTTTCTTGGCACATGATAAACACCAGGCTCCATTCTTGAATGATCTTCCCTGTGTCCTTGTGGTGCTGGCCAGAGTATTTATGGGACTCACCACAGGTATTAAAGGATGCTATAAACTTAATGCCCCAGTAAACTTAATGAGAAATCAAAGATGCTTAGAGTCAAAGGAGCAAGCACAGAAAATTAGAACTGCCAGATAGACTTGTGTTCACGTTGTTGTCTTTATTTAAACAACAAAATAATAATTAAAGAGAAACATTAATGTAAAGAGGAATTAAGTTCAGCCATACTTCTGGAAACCTGTCTGGGCATCTGTTAGCTTATTTCTGTTCATATGTGGTGATAACTCCATTGTGAGGTTTTATTCTTTTCCTTTTTGGCAAAGGCAAAGGAGGAAAGATTTGTCTTATGTCATAGTTTGTAGAGGTTTCAACCCATAGCTGGCTGGCTCCAGGGCAGAAGGGTATCACAGTGAATAAGCAGTTCATGAAGACAGCAAAGGCATGCAAGCCTTTATTTTCATTGAACAAAAGCTTTAAGATAATGTAACAGAAAATCAGACCAGCTTATTTCTGCTTGGAAGTCTGCCTAGCTGTAGAATTTGCATATAATCCTGTTACAAGAGATTAGACTTCCCAAGTGTTGTGGCTTGTGTCTTGATGTCCCCCCCAAAGCCTCGTACAGTCATAGGTGGGGCTTTTGCAGAGATGGCTGCATCTAGAGTATGTGATTGATTCATGGGACATTGCTAGAATTAAAGGTGCTGACATTAAGGACGGACAGTTACTAAGTCAGTCCTGTGATTGGTTCGGCACTCCCCTAATCCCAGTGGCCTGGATGCAGTATAAGGGGCAGAAGGGGACTTATCTTGTCCATTGCCTGCTTTGCTACTTTCCACCCACCATGTTTCTTCTTGCAGTGCCTGCTGCCAGGCCATCCTGCCATGAAGCCAGCCTGTTATGGACTGAAACCTCTGTAAACTGGGCAAATTAATCTTTCCCCGTTTTACTTAGGAAGTGGGGTATTTTATCTCCGCAAGGGGAGAAAAGTAACTAAGACACCAAGTATGCTTAAAACTTGCCCCTTACAGAAAATGTGGGCATCTTAGTAAACAAAAAAGTTGAACACATGTGGGAAACACTCAAGTGGAAGCCACCATAAAGCTTTTAGTGTGCTTCTTTCCTAATCTTTTATTCCTGGACATAGAAGCTTTGCTTCTTTTTGTTTTCCGCATAATGAAAGTATAAAATTCAAAATGGAATATTATGTAAAAGGTACCTATGACACCAACCATAAAAGAACATTTTAGAAAATTCAAAGTGGTCAAAAGCTACCTTTCCCAGTTACAAACTCAGCCCTCTGCAGCCCTTGTCCCTGTGTCCCACCTAGGAAGCAGAGGTCTAAGCGAACATCTGGTGTGAAACACTGTTTATTTCTGCAGATGTTAAGGGAAGCCAAAGAGAAGGAGAAGCAGAGACTGGCCCAGCAGCTCACGGTGGAGAGAACTCCACACTACGGGATGCTGTTTGATGAATACCAAGGTTTGTCCCACCTGGAAGCCCTGGAAATTCTGTCCAACGAAAGCGAAAGCAAGGTACATCTTCACTGTTATTTGCAAGAGTGAGCTTACTGGTATGTTTTCTTAAGTCTGAAAGAAATGTGGAAAAGTCATGAAACTACTGCCTTGCCAGAGCCTCGTTATTCTTGGGCTAAAGTTATAAATACAGTGCAGCACAATGAGCTCTGGAGCTCATGCAATTAATTTCCTGTCTATCGTGTGCCAAGCTTGTATTCCAGCAGAGCCATAGGAGGGCAAGCACATGTTCCAGTCACCACCCCTGCCCCTTGTGGTGTAAATAGCTGTTCTGAAACACACCCACTGTGCTCCAGGCCTCAGGCCTGCCTTTAGTGACATTGTACCAGAGATCCCATATGACCTGCATCTCCATGTCACCCAGGGAGACAATGCCGCTGCTGTTTCTTTTAGATTGTAGGATTTTGATGCATTTTGTTTTATGAATTATAATTGTTATTTATTTGGCCATCTTGTTAGGTTATTTAGGTCACAAAGTTATCCACTGAGAATTTAAAGTTCTATTTGGAAATGGTCACTGTGCAGACACCCAGGAAAGCCTGCCTCTGACCTTGCAGGGTCACACTCCCACTCTGTGGACCCAAAAAAACAAAACAAAACATTATTAGCAGAAGTCAGCAGTGTTTGGTGTTTTTGTTGTTGTTGTTGTTGAGACAGACCCTCATTAAGTTGCTGAAGCACTTAGACAAGGCTCCAACTTATGATCTTCCTGGCTTAACCTTCTCAGGCATGTACCATCACACTTGTTAGATGATTTAGCGGGGGGAGGGGGAGACAGCGTCTCCTTATAAGTAACAGTTCAGGCTGTCCTTGAACTCACTCTGCTAACCAGGCCAGCCTCAGACTTGTGGCAATCCTTCTGCCTCAGCCCTCCTCCCTAGTGCTGGGATCACAGGCAGCCTCATCGAGCGGAGGTTATTTTTTTAGAAGGACACATGGTGCTGCCCGCACACAGGCATATGTATCTGTCTTTCTGTCTCTATTTAGCACATGGCATTTAGCAATGGCATTTCACTATTCTAAATACTGTAAAACTGTTACCTTGTTCACTTGTGTGTGTACAACTGTCCTTTGAGGCTGTCAGCCAGTTTTCACAAGGGTCCCACCCATTGCTTGAGTATCTGAGGGCTGGGTGGGCTCTTGCCTCAGGCTGTTTGAACACATAGAGATGACAGCCTAGCGACATCTCTAGTGCCACTTTCCCCATGTGAGACTCTTGGTGGAATTGTTTTTACAAACCTTGAGGCCATCATTTCAGGGAAGGCCAATCCCCTATCAGATATTTTCCATCATCCTCTCTTAGTGAAATTCCCAGATTCTTGGACAAACCATACTTTTTCATTTGAAGAGTAACTAGGGGTCTCCAGATAAGGAGACTGCAGAATAAGAGGCATGGCCAGGGCCCCTCTTCGGGTTGTGGGGCTGTCATAGCAACCCACTTTGCTTCCCCATCTGCCTTTTGGTTTCCTCTGGCTTCCATTGTTCCAGTCTGTGGGTGTGCCCTGCAGTGTATAAGAGCCACTTTCTTGGGGCCCATAGAGTACCTAGGAGCTGTGCGATTTCTTCTTTGTACTTTCTTTCTTTCCCCCCAGTGGCTAGGAGCACTCTTTTTATATATGGCCCCATGCACATGTAGAGTAGCAAAGGCACATTTAGAATCAGTACAGATGTTAACCTTTTTGTCCTCTGCTAGCAAAAGAGCCCTTTTCCAAGCTATCAGCTCTGCCTTCTGTGCTGAGGTTCCAGGAGGCAGAGGCTGAGCCTCCGTCAGAGTCCAGGGTCATCAGTGCATGCTCTGCCCACCAGACCCCTCCTAGTGTAAAACTACTTTCATTTGTGACCTATTCAACACTTGGGGTCTTCAAGGAAATGATCTGTGAGATCTCCCCAGTGTGAGAATACTTTATCCACAGTTTCCATACAATCCTGAAGTGGGGCTCCCAGTTCAGCTGGGAGTTCATTATCTCTTAAGTTATGTGGGTATTTTCACATAGGCATCCCTGGTACTTGAGTTGTCCTTAGATTTGATAACCAATGGTGCCCTCTTTGGTCCATTAAGGTTATAATTGAGTGTGGTACTCAAATAGTCATTGTCCCAAAGTCAGCTTGTCAGCCTTGTGCATCAGCAGGGTTGTGGCAGCAAGTACCCTAACACATGGAGGCCATCCTAGGGCCACAGAATCCAATTGTTTGGATGATATGCCACTGGGTGAGGCTGAGCGCCCATGACCTGAGTTAGGACCCCTATGGCCATTGCCTTCCATTGTGGACATGTGGGGGGAAAGGCTTGATTATATCTGGCAGTCCTAAAGCTGGGACCAGAGTCAGGGCTCCTCCTTCGGGTGGCTCCATATAAGGGCTAGCCATAAGTGACAAATTTGGGATCCAAATATGACAAAGTCCTGCTGCCACCCTAAAACTTTCTTTTCTGGTGTCAGATGCTTGGCATGCAGAGGGCATGGACAGCCTGTTTCCCTCTGATGTCCAGTTGGCATTCCTTTTCTGTCACTATGAAGCCTAAATATCTGACCTTTTGTTGGCAGATCTGTGCTGCCTTTTTCTCGGCCACCTTCTATCCAGCCTTTCAAAGTAAATGAAGGAAGCCTTTAGTTCCTTGATAAAAGCCCTCATGAGTCAGGGCTGCCGAAAGGAGGTTATCTTCATGCTGTAGCAGGTGCGGTTATCTTCTGGTATGATGAAGGCTCTGAGGTCAGTAGCCAGCAAAGACCACAGGAGAGTTTTTGAGTCCCTGGAGAAGCTTAGTCTGGATAAGTTATTCTTTTATGCCCATGACAAGATCCTCCCATTGAAATACAAAGATGGGTTGACTGACTGGTCCAAGATGGAGACTGAGAAAAGGCATCTTTCAAATCCAAGGAAGTGAACTAACACAGCCATCAATGTGTACAGAGCTGGCACTTTTGGGTGAATAGTCACAGGGGCCTGATTCACAAAACACAAGTCCTGTACTGGTTTATAGTTCCCAGTTTTTTGTACCAGCAAAAGCAGGATCATCCAAGATGACTGGCAGCTAGCCAAGACTCCATGCTTGAAAGTCATTTTAAATGTCCTTGAATGTTTTGTATGACTTTCCAGGGAGGGGTATTGGCAGACCCAAACTGGACCTGCCCTCAGTTTTAGTTCCACTACCAAGTATTTGATTCATAGCTAGCTCAGATGGGTTATCTTAGACCCACACCCCAAGAACCTTAAATATCAGCCCATTCTGCTCATCTATGCTCAGTTTTGGTGACCTGTTTGAATAGTTTCCATTCTTCAGCTCATAGGACAGTAAGGGTTAACCCCATGGACCCTAGATGGGCCAGATTTAGAGTTGTATTTCCCTGTGGCCCAAAGACAATTTTGGGCTGTAGTTTTGGAGCAGGTCTCTTCTAGCAAGAGAACTGGGCAATTTAAAAGATATAGGAACTCATGTTAGGCATTCTGTCCCCCTCTGACACACATTTAGGCCAGCAAAATGGCCTCTTTGCTGGGATCCATGGCTCCAATAATAATCACATGTTTGTTGGATAAGAGCCCAGGGGTTTATGTCACCACTGAATAGTCAGGCCCACTACCTACCATATCTGCCCCCTACTTTCACTGTAACTATGGGCTCCCTGGGCACCTAAGGAACTGGAGCCCAGTCATGCTCAGTCTTCAGTTCCTGCCAGTCCCATGAGGTTGGCCTCTGGCTGCTTCTGGAGATGATAGCCTTTAGCGTACAGTTTCCTGATTTTATAATTTTTGTCATCTCCCTTCACCATTTTCTGTGCATTCATTTTTCCAGTGTCCTCCTTTTTGCATCATGCACATTGATCTCTATCTAGTCCTGACAGATTCCCAGGTCCTTGCCCAGTTTGGCCCCTCCCTCAACCACATGCACATCCCCACCCTTTCCCAGTTTTCATTCTCCTCTCCATGAGTGCTGCTGCCAACAGATCCACTTTCTCTGTGACCCTCTGATTGGCTTCCCACTCAGCTACCCGGTCACAGTCAATGTACACCATGATAGCCACCTTTGACAGTTGGGTGACATTCTAGTTTCTGTAGTTTTCACCTGATGTCTTCCTGAGCCTGTCCCACAAAGGCTATGTTTACCATGTGCTGATTCTCAGTGGCCTCAGGATTGAATGGAGCATAGCCCTGAAATGTCTCACAGAGCCCCTTGTAAACTGACTAGGCCTTTCATCAGTTCCCTGGAGTATTTCTGAGATCTTTCTCAAATTGGCTACTCTCTTTCTCTTTCCACTCTCCTTTAAACTATGGGAGAGAGTCTCTTGGTACCACCATGTCCTAACTGAGCTGCATCATTTGGGTCCCAGTGGGGGTCTGCATCAGGGAATTAGTCCTGGGCATGCACTGAAACATTCATCACTCTTGCTAGGGAATTGTTTTCTAGCCAGTAGGAGGGCTGCTTGGGTCCCTCTCTAATACCCCTCAGTGTTAAACAGCATCAGAAGCTATCCACAATCTGGCCAAGTTGGGTTGTTGTCTGGAAGATGGATGGCATCAGATCTCTAAGGTCTTGGGGCCTCTCCATGTAGGAGTGAGTGTGGTGCCTCCAGCTAAGGTCATTGATTGTAAAGGGCCAGTAGGTAAGCTCTGTTGTTCTCCTTGGAGCTGGCAATCCGTATCATAATAAATAGGCCCCCTAGGTTCCTCAAGGGACATCTGCAAAGCTCTTTCATGGCCCATTCAGTGGCAGCACATTTGTTTATTCAGACCTTCTTCATTCCCCTCCTAGAGCAGTGGTCTGATTCCCCCCCCCCCCCCCCGGGGTGATGCCCTGGGACTCACTGTTATTTGATCCTCTTTCCCTATGGGCTGACATTGAAAGGGAAGGTAGAGTGGGGAGAAAGGTGGGGAGGATTTGTGTCTCCTCTTGTGGCTCTTCTGGAACCAGTTTCTCCTGACCTCCTTGTTGCTTTCCCTTTGTCTCTGAGGCTCCCTGCAGGGCCAATTCCTCTTTCTTTTTTGTTTTTCGCTCAGCTCAGCCAGCAGTATCTTACACTATGCAACCAGACAGCACTATAGCCAACCAGGTTGGGTCTGGACTATGTTCAGGCATGAGTTGATGTAAGGAAACGCCCTGGCTGTCCATTGTCCAGGTCACCGCCTGATATACATACCCAATTGATCCCCTGTCTATCATCCCTCCAGTCAAGGGTCAGATCACTCAGTACTGCACCCCCAGGGAGGTGAGTAGGTGCTCTTCTGCCCATATGGGACAAGTCCTTCACGCGGCCCCAAAACCCTATGATGGTCCTGTAACACACTGTTCCAGAATCATCTTGTATCTCCTCAAGTTCCACTAATAGGGAGGGATCCAGGGCTGCACAAGAGCCAGTTCCTGCTCCAAATTTAAGGCTCACCTAGTGTTATGAGGAGTCTTAGTGTCTCCCTTTGCTGAGGGTCTGGGCCTGTAGCAAAGGAGTCCCAAGCAAGCCTCTAGGAAATGTTGCAGGATTTTAAGACTGGAGAGACCAACAGATGAAACAGGAGGATTTATCTAGGTGAACACCAGCTCAGCAGACTTATGTTCAGAGGCTGAGCCCTGAACAAATAAAGGGCTGTAGTTTTATACATGTGGCCCAAGGGGTTGGTCTATCCAGTGCCTCAACACTGGTGGGTGGGCAAGCAAGTTTACAGAATTGAGACAACAAAGGCAGTTAATCAACCAATGACAGTTTTATAACTTTGTGGAGAGGGGTGTGAGGAGTAGCTTGTTTAAGTTGTAAAAGCTTGACTTTTTCTAAGTCCTGCTTTAATATAAATAGTCTCTCCATAGAAATCTCAAAAATAATCCAAAAAATTAAAACTGTTGCGCTCAAAACAAATTTCTCTTCAATGAAGCAACTGCAGGTGCTTTAATTTACACACATTAAACAGACAAATGGACAAACATACAAACACAACGGATGGTTGCTTTTCTTTTCTTTCTTTCTTTTTTTTTTTTTTTTTTGGTGGAACCAGGGGTTGAACTCAGGCTCTTGCACTTGCCAAGTAAGTGTTATTCTACTGAGCCATCTCCCCAGCCCCAGATGGTTGCTTTTCAACCAGAGTACCTTCCTAGGTATATTGCCCAGGTTGAATTACAATAACTCTTTTGTAGTTTTTAGGTTTGTAATTGTAAGCAGACTGCTCAGACTTTTCATATAGGTTATCGATGAGCATAGATCTCTTGTGATGAGCCCAAAGAGTTCTTTTACACCTGTGAAAGTGAAGGCTGTTGTTAAGAAGGGATTTAGGCTGATGGTTATTGGAATAGATCTGTTTCTATTTCAGAACTTAAAAATTCATAAGGATTCCTAAGAACGTTTTTAGTTTTATCAATGAAAATATCTGCTATAAAAACCAGTTAGTCTGCCTCCTAAAGTAGCATTGCTGAAGGGAGAGGAAAGTGAGTTGATTTCCAGTTCTTCCCGAAAGTAGAAAGCCTGATTAACTTGGACTAAAGCATCCACACTTATTTTTAGGGAATCTGAGGATCAAACCCAGAACATTCTTTTAAGAATTTGTTACAAATGTAAGTGAAAATTAGCTGAGAAGGGGAACACGCTTCCCTGGAAACCAGTCTTAGAACACAGCAGCCAGGGAGAAGAGCAATGCCTTGGAGCACGCGAAATAAATCCCAACTATCTCAAGGACAGAAGACAATCAAGACCAAGAGTTCAGGGTGGACTTTTTAGCAAAACAAGCCTCCAAAGACAAAAGATGAGGATTAACTCCAACTGGATTGCCAAAGAAATTTAAATCACTAGTCAAAGAAACTGACTGCCCTTCAACTTTCTGAGAGCTAGAGAGATGGAGTAAGACAATCGAAGGACAGATTGGAGATGCTCTCTTAAACTTTATACTTTTGGGATCCTCCATGTGTGTGCTTGAGCTGTGGTAAAAAGTCCTGATGAGGAGCCCCTTTTCCTGGCACATTTTTCCCAGGTTAGCATAACCGGCTGGTTTGGTTCTTGTTGTCTTTAGCTTTCTTTACTTTTTTAAAAAAAATTTATTTTCCTTTTTCCCCTATTTTATCTTCTTTTTCTATGTTTATACTTTTTAAAAATCCAATTGGTGTATGATATTCTAATTTTAGAGGTTGCCCCCACCATCTCTCTTGTCTCCCTAGAGGGTCGGCCGCAGAAGGGAGATTTCAGAGGAAGCTGAGAGAGGAAGAAGAAGTTATTTTAGGGAAAACTTTTTGCTTGAGTGGATCAAATAAAATAACAACCTTAGAAAGATGCCAGACAGCATCTATAGGACTTAATGACTATCTTAACTTTTGACCCACATATTCCCTGTGCTCCACCTCCAAGCTGTTCCCTAGAGGAAAATGGATATTGTGGTTTGGTTTGGTTTGGTTTTAGTACCAGTAGTTGAACTCATGATGCCACACTGGCCAGACAGGCACGTTGCCACTGAGTTATATCCCCTGCCCAGCATGGATATTGTTGTTGAATAATAATCAATAATTTAATAAGGTGAGGTTGAGAAACATCATATCCAGAAGTCATTAAGAGATGTCTTTAAGAGACATCCTCTTTGGATAAAGTGGGATCCATGTCATGTTAAGCAGAAGAGAGAGAGAGAGGAAAAGAACAAATGAACTGCCCCCACTCACGTAGCAACTGGACAGCTAAAAGACCTATGGGCTGATGAGCCTAACCTGGGATGTCTTGGAGACATGCCAAGCTACTGTGGCCGCCTTGGTCCTCTGCCCTTCCTGGATGGGAGATTGGATGTTTTTGTTCCTTTTTCAGGCTGTGGGAGGTCAATCATCTCATTCACAACCGCAGCAGCACATAAAAGGATAGAACAAAGGATTACTCGGAGTCAGAGTCTAATCCATACTCCAAGAGAGCCCAGAGGGGCTGCAGTTTACCAAGATCTCTCAGCGTGAGAAAGAATCAATGATGGCCCCAAACTAAACCTCTTGTGGCCTTTTATTGATAGAACCAGCAGGAAGCAAAGATAAAAATGAAGGGTGTCTGGGCAGGAACTTACATAGGGTTTAGGGAAAGGACGGGAAGGTCAGAGTGGTCTGTTCAATGACTGACTTTGCAACCAATCTAAATGATAGATCAGAGTATGGGAGGATGAAGTCTAGAGCATTCATTCCTTAAGGCAGTGTGTTTGACCCTATTTGGACTTGTGGCCCTGTAGGCTATCTTTAATCACTAATCATGCATTGGGGAGGTTTGGGGCACCTGGCTCCAAAAGTCCCTTACTTCTGCAAAACCATCTTATACACACCTCTGGCCAACACCCCCAGAACTTGATGTGAAAAATAGTCAGCAGAAATCAAAACAGCACCACACATTTTAATGAAAAGATTTATAAAGCAGACTGGCCACCTTGTATCCTGAACAGCAAGTAGCATAGTACTGTGCACGCAGTCAGCATCCAGGAATCTTTACTGAGGAGTGCACTATTGTTTATTATTGGACTGAGGATTCAGTGCGTGTTTCCATGGCAGAATGAAATGACCTAGAAGAAAGAGTGTGAGTGTGCAAGCTGCTGAAACGAAGGCCTAGAAGGTCAGGGCAAGAGGGAGTGCCTAGGAGCCATCAAGCAACTCCTTTGCTCCTGCCTGCTGAACTCCACTGCTAAGAGGCTTTATGTTGATGACTTCCTGCCAAGCCTCCTTCCTCCCGGAGCCTCCAACAGGTTGCATGATGCTTAGAGAGGTGCATGGCCCTTCGGGAGGACGGAGTCCCTCATCCCGGATGCTCTGGCTACCGCTGCTCTTATCTTGCTGTGCTAGTTCCCTCCATGCTGAATGTTAACACATATGCCAAAGAGGATTGCAGCTTCTCTGCTGCAAGAGCCTGCCCTTTAGAATGAAAAAAATAAAAACTTCACTACTTTCCAATTATGTGGTATTCCATATTAAAATAGACAGTACACTATTGTGTATTTTTATCTGCAGTGGCCCTTTGATCATTTACAAATTCCAGTTAGTCTTCAGAGAATGGCTGGTCATCTGTGTAAGTAATTCTTAAGTGTGTTCAGAGGACAGTAACAAAAGAGGGGTTCTAGAGACAGCAATGGGGCGACATAAGTCCAAGCAACATTTCCTCAAGGTGGAGCACCTGCAGGCTCCTCCATGTCCTCATGTACCCTTGGCTCACAGCTGTCATGGCCATTACTAGGTGGCATGGGCCTCCCCCCCCCAAACTGCAAGCTCTCAGGAAATAAAAATGGGTCTTCTCCAGCTTTGTAACCTCAGAGTCCAATCCTTATAAAACCACATGTGACTATGTAACACTTCTTTGCTTATTTACATATGTGTACATATATGGTATATATAACTTACTGGGCATTGCTATATGTGTTTTAAGTACGTTTCAAAACCACAGAAGGTAGATACAGTTAGTCCCCATTTCACAGATAGGGAAACTTATACCATAAAAAGGTTAAATAAATGACCTAAGGTCAATAATTCATAAGTGAGAAGCTGATATTTGAACAAAGTGTTAGGTCAAAATTACCATGTCTTTAAGCATTCTTTTAGAAGACCTATCTCCACTGTTGATTTTTTAGCATCTACTGTGTGTACTCGCGTGATGTGTTTCCTTCTCAGCATCTCTTTTATCACAGGAAAGATCACAATAAAGATGGATTCTGCTTTAGCAATGAGAAAACTTATGTAAACTGAAGTAGCCCCAGGAGCTTAGGTAACTGCTCAAAAGCATGGTTCATGGGTAGCAAAAGCACATGCAGCCCAGCATTACCCCACAGATCACCTGAGTTGTAGGAAAATGGGGAGCAGCTGTACGTAAACATTATTAATGAGCAGAAACGATGACAGCTACACTGGCCTATTTCTTTTTTTCAGGTTCAGTCATTTTTAGCATCACTGGATGGAGAGAAGCTGGAACTCTTAAAAAATGACCTGATTTCCATTAAAGACATCTTCACAGCCAAAGAATTAGAGAGTGAAGAGAATCAAGAAGAACAAGGTAAAGGAAAATAAGTTACATAGCAACATCAATGTTGGCATAATCCCTCTGAGACTGCTGTTCATAAACACAGGAGAAATTATTTCATGTAGCTGCCCCTCCTGCATGTGTCCAGGGCACCCCGTGTATTACTGTGGTCGCAGGAGCTCAGCACGCCGGTTCATCACCCTCTTTCACTGTACAGGAACTCCCATTCCTTATCTGGCGTCCACTGTGGTCCCTGGCACATCCCAAGCACACAGTGAATGAATTCGGCTGCACGAACCAGAGTGCAGTGTGCTGAGCCCCAGCTAGAGTTTGCGCACCACTGTCTATTTTTATCTGTACATGAAAGTTGTTTAATGTGATTAATATTCATAGCAGGCAAGTCCTACAGTGATTTCTTTGCATATTTTTTCTTAGTCCTTTCAACCCAGCCATGTAAGGGGGAGGGTATATCTTTAAGTGTCTTTTACACATGAGTTAAAAAGTACAGTTCTGAGCTGGGCACAGAGCTCAGAGGCAGGGCACTTGTGTTCTGTGTGAGGTCCTGGGTCCAATCCCTGGCACCACAAAAATAAAAAATGAAAAAAAACCACAACAACCCTAAAAACACAGTTCTGGCAAAGGCTGTGCCATTTTTTCACAGTGTGCCAGGTTGACCATCACTGAAGAGACCGAAGCACACACTTTCTGAAAAACGTCCCAACAGATAATGACCAGACCCCAAAGAGACCAGAACCCATTCCCTGAGAAGCAAGGCTTCATGAAGAGTGTAAGATAGAACCAGCTTCAGACATGCCTAGAGGTTACTTTGAATTGTCCACTGGGGAGCAGAACAGAGTAGAACGTTTGCCATGTCCAGGAGAGTGATTTCTTACTGAGTCCCAGCCGAGCACCACACCACAGTTGCTCTACATGGGCTGTGCAGAAAACCTGAGCACCAGCTGGCTTCTCCCAGGATCATCGAAAAGGCCCCACTAGAAACACTTCCACCACTTCCCTGCTGTGTGACCTTGGACAAGTTAGAGAGCCTCTCCGAAACTCAGTCTCTTCATTTGTAATGGAGCCAGAGATACATATTCCCAGGGGCTGTTTTAGAGATTCAATGAGGTAAAAACATATAGTCCAGTGTCTGGTACAAAGCACTGCTCAGACATGTTCACTATTGTTATTATTTAAACTGGTGACACAATGCCAGGAAAATGGTACAGGTGTAATGAGGTGCAGCTGTTACTTATTGTTGTATTTGTTGCTGCGCACCAGGCAGGGTAATGATGCTGCGCATTTGGTGTGTCAAGTCACTGGAAATGTCTTGTCCCCAGGTGGGTCACATACCTTTAAGCAAAGCCTAAACACAAGTGCTCACATGCCAGAGGCTTGATCTTCAAGGCAAAATTATCCTAAGTGTTGGTAAATGGTTACTATTTCCCTCTTTAGCCCCATGTACTGACCTTATGTGCTTTCAGCTTAATGAGGTTTATCCTTATTGCATCAAAATAGAAGAATCAATTATGCTGGAACATAGAAAGAGGCTAATGTCAGAGACTGCCAAAGAATCACCAAAGATCACAGTCTTGTCTTTGTTTTACTAATGAAGCAACTAAGTCACTGGCTGTCAAAGGTTATGTAGCTCCCATTCTGGAGAAATAAAAGAATCTAATAGGCCCTTCCTGGGCAGACTAACCACTGCCAAAGGCACTGGAGATTCGTCTCTGAGGCCCAGGATGCCAGAGGTACACCTTGGTCCTCCTGCGGTGTCATTCAGCAAGGATATAAAAAGACCTCAGATACCCCCAACATCTAAGAGATTTCTGCCGGTGAAGATTAAGGCAGTGTTGCGTTCCCAACTGATGCTATCCTTAGAGAGGAAACCTGATTCCATACAGTGAAGTCCACAGTGTTATTACAGGCGATGTTTCCCCATTTTAGGGCAGAGCTTCAATAAATTGAAATATTTTTCTAATTCTGTGTACACACACACACACACACACACACACAATGGAAGTGCTAACAGCATGCTTTGAGAAATGGCAGATTTGTCTCTCCTTAAATGATAAAACTCTATTATCTCCCCTAATATATCCATTTTCCCAAAGGCCATCTCCAGATTATCAAAACACTATTAATTTTAATTAACTTAATTTAATAAATAAATGTCATTCAAACACTTAATGAAGCACTGGGAGCAGGGCACAGAGATGTTGCTGTTCAATCTACCCGATTATGATGGAGTGTCACAGCTCCAGAGGGTGACGGATTGCCCAGCCCAGCAGCTGCAGAGAGCAACCTTATTGGGGCCGGGGGTGAACAGGCAGTCCAGGGCCCAGCTCTGGCAGAAACCAGGGCATTTTTTTTTCTTACAAGCACTTACATTCCTAAAAATCTCTAATGACTATTCATTTATTTGGTAGTCTCAGAAAATGTAAGAAGTTGTCATTTTTAGATCAGCTTAATATTGGGCTCCTATGCATTGGATGCTGCTAGCAAGTGATTTGTGTGTTGTCTTTCCAGTGGCATGTCATTTGGTTACACTGCCAGGGGTTTCTGATTTGGTTTACTATAGCTGTGAGGAGATTTTAAAAGATGATTTTCTATTTTTATTGCCATGGGGAAAATCTTTTTGGTCATGGGTACAGACTGAGAATTGTAGTAATAGTCTTGGTTGCAACATTTATTATCTGTTTGTACCTAAATCCAGTTCTCTCTGTGATTTTTTTTTTCACTGAAATATTTGCTACATTATTGGTATGTGTTTTATAGAATTAATGTATCCCTAAAAGCTGGAACTAACCAAAGTACTTATGGCCTAATTTAGTGTTGATTTCTCCTAAATATGTTTAATCTCCCTATGTTTCTATCTATAGCGCATCATAAACTATTTATGGAAAGTGTTCAAGTTTACAAAATGCTTCCATATTTCTTGTTGGTCCTCATAACAACTCTGAAGTGAGTGCGTTTTATTATCCTCCATTTTCAGAGGAGGAAATGGAAGCTGAGGCAGCCTGGTGACAGGCCCTAGGCCACAAAGCCACTGAAGGCCAGAGCTGGGGTGGAAGCCAAGGACTGTACCCATCCAAGGCTCTTTTGGCCTGTGGCACTGCCTCGTACAGAAGGACAAGGAGCAGGCAGTTTGTCAATGGTGTCTTCTGGGTGCTGCCCAGGTGTGCCTGTCCCTGGCCGTGTCATTGGCCTATGTGAGGAGGATGGTCTGTTCTGCAAAGAGACTCTAAGCCCCTCATGGTTCCCCTCACCCCCAAATTCTCAGTGTTGTCTGCGTGGCTAATTCTTGAAGGCTGTGCTTGGCACCACGTCCTCTGAGAAGTCTTCTTGACACTCCTCTGAGGACTGGATTAAATGCTGCAGAGCTGCCTCAGTCAGAGCACTTGTCCCTTTAGGCTAAATTCTTTCTCTCCTGTGGCTTCCTCATACCTCTCTACCCCAGGCACAGCTCCTCTGCTGCAGCCACATGGCCTTTTCCCTGCACCCTCAACTCGTCAGGCATGGTTTCTCCCCCACTGCTCTTGCTGGAAGGCTCCTCCTCTGACATCTGTGGCTCATCATCCTCCTCCTTCAAATTATTATACAGATGTCACCTTCCCAGCTTCCTTCCTACTTTAATCTGCTTCAGCTGCTGTAACAAAATCCTGTAGACTCTATAGCTTACAGACAGCAAGAGCTTGTTTCCCAGTTGAGGAGGCTGAGAAGCATAAGACCTCAGTGCTGCAGGAGAGGTGTCTGGTGACAGCGCCCTTTGGCCGTGACCCCACATAGTGCAGGGGTCCATCCAGGCAGATGTCCATCTTTTCCAAGAGGGCTAATCTCATTCCTGAAGGCACCAGGCCCATGACCTAACTGCCCTCCCAAACTACCACCTCCTAACACCCTCCCTTTGACCATTGTTTCACACATGAGTACGGGGGACAAACCTTCCAACCACAGCACCTCCTATTTAAAATTCCTGAGCCCCAGCCACCCCAGTTCTTCTTTGTTTTATACTTCCACATAGAGTATTGACATATATGTTTTGCTCCTCTGTTTTGTTTATTAACCTGTCTCCCTCCTGACAGTATATGAATGATAGGTAGTAATAAAGTGATCTATGCCAAATGTTTTGAACAGAGACACACGGGCTAGCCCAGCTATCTTTATGAGCTGCCGATTAACCATTTTGTCTATAAAACTGAAAATAGCCATCCAGACAATAGTTCTCACATGGCTTCGTCTGCTTGAAGGTACTGCTTTCACCCACTGGCATAATCCATAGTATTTTTGCTCAGAGGGTCTTGCAATCAAGCCAGATTTAATGATGCTTTTATTCCCCCATTCAATAAAGCAGTGACCCTATTTCTGGGCCAATTCTTTAGCACCTACCAGAGAGCAATAAGACCACAGCACTTGAAGATTTTCGTTGCTCACTAGTAATATTAATTTGTTTTAATTTCATG